ATTCTCGAGCAACGAAAGTGAAAGAAAGAAGTGGGTTCATGTTTGAAAGTAAACTGAGGAAGCTGTGAGGCATTGGAGAGCGGGAGAGCGCTATCTTTCCAGGCTAGCTGTTTTTAGCTGCTGGCTAACTTGAAGCAGCGCTCCGGCAAAACACGGTGAATTGATGATACGGTAGATCAAACAAGACACAAAATCACCGCTTTCAGTTTAAACATACCTAAAAGGAGGACTCTGTGACTGGTGTGAGAGATTCACACTGCAGATAATGCTTTTACACAGCGAACGTCAGATATACTGCGGTTCACCCCTTAAACTACTGCGATAGCATAGAGAAATCCAGTCGTCGCTAGCTGGTGTCTGAATACTGTGATATGCTCTGACATGGAAGTGGTAGGAGTGACAGCAGTGACCTACCGAACCGAGTTGTCGTTGTTGAGAAACTAAAGAGTTCAGCACTGTTGTTGGCCACTTGTTTAGCATTTGTAACGGGGTAGCCGAGCGCTCGTCACCAGACAGCTAAAAATAATCTGTTTTCTTTCTTAAATCATGACTATTACAAAAATTGCAGCTGTGCATTTCGAGCTGGTAAAAACAGCTCAGAAACTTTCTCCCACTGTCCCAAGACAGATTAGTGAAATGTTCCACTGTTTGCCGAGTGTTTGTCATGATCAGACTGTAAGTGATTGTTTAAAACCACAATTAACCACCCAGGAGCAAAATCAGCCTTCAAACGTGAAAGAAATCATGATTTGACATTTATCGCGATATGTTTCGATACCGAACGATATGAATTTTGTTTATCGCGATAAACGTATCATATCGTGATTTTGGCCATATCGCCCAGCTCTAGCCTAGCTTCAATATTCACAGTTTGCCACTGCATATATAAATATGTATAGTATTATATATGATATAATAAGATATAATAGTACATATCTGCTTGATTGCACTGTTTATACACTGTAAAGCCAAATTGTGTGCGTGCTATTGATTAGTGAGAGCTGTAGAGGACATTAATCACTGATTCACCACTCAGAGAGAAATACTGCACTCACTGCTTACTACAGCTTTACTCTCTCTCACACACACACAGTCTGGCCTCACTATACTTGTGAGGACTTCTGCTGACTTCTGAATTACTGTAGCCAAGCAATACTACACCTATTTATTTAAATATGCTTTTAATTTTGCTTTTATGCTTACAAAGCACTTTGAATTGACTTTGCCAGAATTTATCAGTTTGTATCTTTTTCCCACTTCCATCTTTTCCATGTATAATGCAAATCCAACCGTTTATACGTTGTTTAAGAAAGCATTTATCCTGTTTAATCGACTCTCGTGCCACTGTATATGAAATGTGCTGTATAAATGAACTCGCCTTGCCTTACACTTAAACCTGACCCCAGTTTTAAGCTCAGTAACCATAGTCAGCCTTTCTGCTCGTTCAGTTTTTACAAGAAATGTTGTATTCGTGGTGCAAAGGGTCATATTTTCAAGTGAGGACCAGCAAAAGGGTACAAAATCTCATACTGTCCTGTCACTGTGAAGACATTTGGTCTACAGGGGCAGCAAGACAAGCACACACCCACACACAGGAGCTGAGATCAGAGGAGCCAAGGTGGGGGGGGGATGAGGAGGCAGCATAAAAGCTCTTAATTACTAAGGTGTGTGTGTCTTCAGGGCTCAGACCAGAATAACATCGAACACACACACAAACACACACAGTGGTGGAATTCCTCCCAGTAAACACGAGTGTGAACACAATAATACTAATAATAATGATCAGTCTGCATTTTTTTGTTTTTGTGTGTGCACGTATGTGTATGTGTGTGTGTGTGTGTGTGTGTGTGTGTGTGTGTGTGTGTGTGTGTGTGTGTTCAAAGGAAGGTCTAGAATTCCTCAGTAATAATGCTTGAGAGAAGCTGTCAATCAAAATCAAAACGCTCACGTACCAGTTTAGTTCACTCTGTCTGTACACTGTTCATGACTCAGGATAAGAGTGTCTGATTGAAGAATGTAAACATACCTGTAAATATAATATAAATAAATAAATGTACATAACCAACATTAATGTAAATATAAAAATATTTCCTCAGGCTGTTACTGCCAACAAAGCAATAACAAGTGCAGCGTTTGTATGTGTTTTAATCATGAAATCATCAGTCAGTCTTATAACATTTACAGAACACACACACACTACAGATATATGATATTTACTTTTACTCATTTGACTGAAGCTCATATTCAGAGTAACTAAGGCCTTGTTCAGACTGCCAGTCTAAGTCCGATTTCTTCTGTCATAGCCAGATTGTATCCAGAGTGATTTTTGATCGTCTAAACAGCAAAAAAAACACATGAAATCTAATTTTCCACATTTGTAGGTGGTTTGAAATGTGACTCCAGTCCGATTTTTACAGATGTTTCTCAGTCTGGACGCTCTGGATGCTCAAATCGGATTTCAAAGTGTCTTTTGAGTTACTCGCAACACGACAAACGACGACGATGTCAAATCCAGAGTGATGAAGTGCTGGGATTCAAGAAGAGCTCCAAAGATTCACGATTATGCCAGAGGCTCTGCAGCTTCTCAGCTAAAACTCACAGTGTGAACGGCTGTAATATTTACTAATTTCCAGTAGCGTCTGACACTCAGAGAATAAAGCTTGAGTGTGAGAGACACACATACGAGACACAACGGCTTTCAGACTGAAAACTACATTCAGGAGGGTTTTTACAAGGCTGAATTCAACTTGCTATTCACCACCTTCTTTTCCAAATTTTCCCATTCCACCTTAAATGGTGCAGGAGTTACAGGTGCCAGAATGTAACAACCGCACCATTTAAGGTGGAACAGGAAAATTTGAACAAGAAGCAGGCAAATAAAAAGCCAACTTAAACTTTGTATCATTGTTGCTGTGCTCAGAGAAGCCGCTGTGGGCTTCACACACACTCACCTTTATCTAATTAGGGTCACAAAGCAATACTGACATCTGACTGTGTATAATACATATATTATATATATATAAAACATTTCTGTTTTTACTATTTTACCAAATAAAGACATTTTAGATTTACTTCAGTTGTTAAATATGATTCTTATTAAATGTGAAGGGACATCCAGAATAATATGCCACTGTTAATCTACAGTTTACATTAGCATCCAAAATGGTTTTATTTAAAAAAAACATACATAAATACACTAAACCGTCATACATACTGAAAGTGTCATTAATCGTAATTACACAGTGATGTGCATTTTAGCACTACTAGTGGACATAAAGAAACAGTGTGTAGGATAGACTGTGAATGCTGGTGGATTGGTTTGGGGTACGTAGGATAGATTGGGAATGCTGGTGGATTGGTTAGGGGTATGCGTCATAGACTGGGAATGCTGGTGGATTGGTTAGGGGTATGCATCATAGACTGGGAATGTTTGTGGATTGGTTTGTGGTATGTAGGATAGACCGCAAACAAGTTTTGTTGTATTTAGCCTAGCTAGGCAACATGCTAGCTAGTGTGTATAACTTTGGATTCTGGTCATGTTTGACGAACCCATTTGTGATGCACACATAATGTGTTTGCTTTCTTGATTTGTGTGTTGATTTCTCATAACACTCTGTTTGGAGTGTGCCGTTTGGAGGGCCATGTAGCCCTAACACTTCGCCCTACCCCTCTATCTCAACAAAAATCAGGACACCCTACCCCTAGACGTAAATGCACAAAACAGAGGGGTAGGGGTTAAATGAGATTGGAGCCAAAACAGCTAGAGATGAAACACACACACACACACACACCAAAACAAACCAAACTGTCAAAAAATCACCACCCCAACCCACACACACACACACACTTAAACACACCAAAACAAACACAAATTGCCCCCAACACACACAAACACTCTCACACACTGATGATCGGACTGTGTGATGTTCTCTCAGATTTCATCCTGGAGCTCATTCTCACACACACTGTTATATAATACTGAACACACAGTCCTACATCAGTTCGTAATCATCAATAATATCACTCACAGTATCAATAAATCATCAGTGTCTGATCAATAATATCAGCAAAACCATCATCAATCAGATCATCGATAATGCCATCAATACCAGCATCAATGTCATTAGTAATGTCATCAGTCATCAATACCATCATCAATATCACCAGTAATATCACCAATACCATCAGCAATCATATCACCCATAATATTATCAATACCATCAGCAATAATATCAACAATAATATTAATATCAATAAGCTCATCAATAAAGCATTACAAAAACCAACAGCACCATCAATAAAGCATTAAAAAGCAACAAAAAATCCTCAATAAATTGTCAATATCATCAACAAAACACTTATATAATATCAGCAATATTATTAATAATCTTCTATAGTGTGGTATTCACTCAGATCTTCATACTCTGGCTCATTCATGCAGACTATTATTATTATTATTATTATTATTATTATTATTATTATTATTGACAGTATTATTAACAATCTGGTGAAATATTCATACATTAATCATTATTATTATTTTAAAAACAGCGTGTGTGAATGAGCCTGTGGGTGAGGTGTGAGTGAATATCACACACTGAACAGGGCAGGTGGAGCTCAGAGTCATCAATATTATCATTAATAATCAATAAGTGATCATTAACAACTGGTTCAACAACACATCCATCAGTCCAGCAGACCGAGTGACCAGAACACACACCATAACAACCCATAACCAACACACACTCATACAGACTACACACTACCAATACTACACACACTACACAAACATACACTCACTCACACACTACACACACACTACACACACAACAGACACACTACACTGTTACTGATCAACACAGTCGCTCAGTCTGTCAATATAGCTACAACCAGAAAGAGAGAGAGAGAGAGAGAGAGAATCTGAGAAAGAAAGAGAGAGGTGAGGCTGGCAGAGATAAAGGGAGCGAGGTGGAGGAGAAGAAGAGTGAGAGCGTGTTTACCTTCTTTCCCTTCTTCTTCCTGTGAGTGGGTTTGGAGGAGCTCTTCTCTTTGGCTTCTTCGCTCATGATCTCTGAATCTCCTAAAATCCTCAGAACTGAAGCGCTCAACTCTCCACTCAGTCCAGCATGGAGCAACACACACTCACACACACGCACACACACACGCCCCGTACACACACACACTCCACTCCGCTCCGCTCGCAGAGCTCGCACGCCCGCGTGTGTGTGACAGAGAGAGATGCTGTTAGAAACACACACTCACACACTTCAAAAACACACATACACACACTGCTTGCTCCTGCTCTCACCCAGAGAGAGAGAGAGAGAGAGAGAGAGAGAGGGGCGTGGAGAGAAGGGAGGGGGTGGAGGGGGGCGTGGAGAGAGTTAGAGAGAGGGAGAGAGAGAGAGAGAGAGAGAGAGAGAGAGAGAGAGAGAGAGAGAGAGAATTAAAAATAAAAAAGAAGAAAAGCAAAATAAAATAGAGAGAGAATAAAAATAAGTGGATATAAATATAAAGGAAGAAGCAAAAGAAACAACAGGAAAAATAAAGGGAGAAAGAGATTGACGGAGAGAGAAAGAGAGAGAGAGAGAAAAAAAAATTAATTGAGAGGTTATAAAAGAAGAAGCAAAAAAAGAGTGAGAGACAAAGAAAGAAAAGAGAAGAGAGAAGCAAGAGAGAGAGAGACAGAGAGAGAGAGAAATGGGAAAAGAAAGGAAGAGAAACAAATAGAGAAAGAAGGGAGAGAGCATGAAAGACAGGAAGACAGAAATACAGAGAACAAAAATAAGAGGATACAAAGAAAGAAGCAAAAGAAAAGAGATGAAAAGAAAGGGAAATAAAGAAAGAGAGAAAAGAGAGAGAAGGGTGAGAGAGAAATTGGGGATAGACAATAAAGATAAGAGATTATAAAGGAAGAAGCAAATTTAAAAAAGGGGAAAAGAGAGAGAGAGAGAGAGAGAGAGAGAGATTTACTAAACCTTGTATGTCTGAACCAAGAACTTAACAGGAGAAATAAAAAGACGATTAACTCTCACCAGTTTAATGTACATTATTAATTAATGTGCATTAATGTGGAGAATTAAAATTCAGAGTAGGATCATTTCTATTGGTCCATTGGTCATGAATATTCACGCCGTGTTAAAAGCAGCTGGAGCTTTCAGAAAATAAACAATAACAACAATAACAAATAAAGGTCTGAGGTTTGGCTATGACAGAGTGTGAGAGTAAGCTAAGAAAAGTGTGTGTGTGTGTGTGTGTGTGTGTGTGTGTGTTTCAGTTCCTTCCAGAAAAGGAAGTCTCCTCAGCCCGTGTGCCAACAGATCGACTTACAGTCAGAAAACACACACACACACACACAGACACACACACACACACACACACACACACACACACACATACACACAGTGTACCCCCCCACCGTTCTTAGCATGTACTTTCTCTCTCACACACATGCAGTTGTGAGCAGAAAACCACTCTGAGCTCCAGAGCTGTAACGTAATGTATCCACAGTCGTTCAGTTATTGTGATACAGTCTCGCGTCCAATCAGAACGTTTTCCAGCACAGCAAAAACACAAGTGCCTTATTTTAATGTGTTAAGTTTTACATTATGTTGTGGTTAATCTGGCTTTATTCTATGTTCAGTTTATCAGACCATTCAGACTGTAGAAGACTGTCAGACGAGCTCAGTGGGGTTCAGCCTGATCCACTCACACACAGAAACACTGAACACAAACTAACCTGTTAGTCACCGCTGAGCCTGTTAGCCCCACGCTAACACACTTGCTAGGAGCTAACATGCTAGCCACATCATACATTGATACAATAAAGTACCACAATATTTAATTTGATGAGTCACCACAATGCAAATCAATACAGTACAAAACACTGCAATACAATATGTACCACAATATATTACAATACCATGATCTAATCTAATCTAATCTAATCTAATCGAAGCTAATATAACATAACATAATAAAATATAATATAATATAATATAATATAATATAATACACTACAATACTTGATATAACAAATGATACACTACCATAAAGTACAATATGCTATAATATAATGCACTTTAATACATGATACTATAAAATATAGTACAATATGATACACTAAAATATAATAAAACATGATGCGATATGATACAATTAAATGTATAATACATAAAATACATTACAATAGAGTCTGTTACAATATTATACAATATGAGACAATATAATGTAATATGACACTACTGTACAACACAATAGAATATTATATACTATAATACAATGCAATTTAATACAGTGTGATACAATACAATATACTACAGAACATACAACAGAATATACAACAAAATACGAGCCCATTTCCAAAAAAGTTGGGATGCTGTGCCGAATGTGAATAAAAGTAGGATGCAATGATATGCAAATCATGTAAACCCTATTTCTAAAGGAAAATACTACAATGACAACATATTAAATGTTCAAACTGAGAAATTTTATTATTATTTTTTTAATATATGCTCCTTTTAAATGAATGCCAACAACACGTTCCAAAAAAGTTGTGACGGGGACATGTTTACCACTGTGTTTCATCACCTCTTCTTTTAACAACACTCTGTAAGTGTTTGGGAACCTAGGAGTCCAGTTGGTGTAGTTTTGAAAGTGAAATGTTTTCCTGTTCTTATTTGATATAGGATTTCAGCTGCTCAACAGCTCGGGTTGTATTTTTCATTTCATAATACACCAAATGTTATCAGTGACTGACAGGTCTGGATTGCAGGCAGGTCAGTTTAGCACGAGGACTCTTTTAATATGGAGCAATGCTGCTGTAATACATGAAGAATGTGATTTGACATTGTCTTGCTGAAATAAGCAGGGCCTTCCGTGAAAAAGACATCATCTGGATGGCAGCATACGTTACCAAAACTTATATATACATATATATATATATATATATATATATATATATATATATTGTCCAGCATTAATGGTGCCTTCACAGATGTACATGTCGCCCATGCCATGTGCAGTAATGCCCCTCCATGCCATCGTGAATACTTCCTTTTGAATTGTGCACTGATAACAAGCTGAGTGGTCTTTAGCCTGGAGGACACAGTGTCCATGATGATGAGAAAAGAATTTCTAATGTTGACTCATCAGATCACAGGGCACTTTTCCACTTCACTTCCATGTCCATTTTCCAGTCCATTTTAAATAACCTTGGCCCAGAGAAGGTGGCAGCATTTCTGGATCCTGTTTATGTGCAGTTTCTTCTTTGCATTTAAGAGTTTTAATTAGCATTTGTGGATGCAGCAACGTGCTGTTTTCACAGACAGTGGCTTTCAGATGTGTTTCTGAGCCCATATACAGTGATTCCCACTACAGAATCAAATCTGTTTTTAATGCAGTGCTGCCTGAGGGCCCAAAGATCATGGCCAGCAAATACTGCTTTTTGACCTTGTCCCTTGCATACAGAGATTTCTCCAGATTCTCTGAATCCTTTAATATTATCATGCACTATAGATGATGGAAAGCAAAAGTTTTTTGCTATTTTACGTTGAGAAATGTTATTCTTGAATTGTTGGAATTTGATCATGCAGTCTTTCACAGAGTGGTGAACCCCTCCCCATCGCAACACTTCAGCATTACACAACTTTACCAGCCTTTTGTTGCCCCCATTCCAACTTTTTTGGAATGGCATCAAATTCAAAATGGGCAAATATTTTTCAAAAAACAATAGAATTTCTCAGTTTCAACATTTGATATGCTGTCTTTGTTTTCAATTAAATATAAGGTTTAAATGATTGGCACATCATTGCATTTTGATTTTATTTACATTTTTGCACAGCGTCCCAACTTTTTTGGAAATGGTGTTGTATAATACAACACAATATAATACTACACACTATAATACAGTATGATACAAGACAATATATTTCAAGATAATACAATACAATACAAAACATTTGCAATAGAATATGTAATACAATATTGTAACAATATTGTAATTCAGTATAAACTAATACAATACAATATAATACAATACAGTATAATAAAATTTATACAGCATAGTATCATATAATATAATACGATATGATATTATATGAGATCCTGTACTGTAACACCCCCAGGATGGACCCCTGTCCCAGGTTGTGTGAGGGAAGCGGTGGGTGTGGCTGCAGTGAATCCTCTCCAGAGGAGGATTTTTTACTGCCTCAGACTGTCTGTAAGCCTGCAGGGTTGCCAGGTTTCACAATTCATATATAATAGCCCCCTAAAGAGACAAGCAGGGTTGCCAGATGTTATAAATTATATAAATTATATAATTATATAAATTCTCTCTATCTATCTCGATCTCTCTCTCTCTCTGTGAGGGGATTAGTGATGGAATATTCTTTAGGGAAACATCAGAGACGCCCCTCCATCTCAGAGGAGGATTTACTGTACAACTCACACACCGAACACTGCACAGACTGATACACAGCATTAGAGAGAGAGAGAGAGAGAGAGAGAGAGAGACAGGAAAGAGAAAGAAGGAACGAGAGCCAGAGAGACAGAAAGAAAGAGAGCGAGACAGAGAGAGAGAGACAGAAAGTGAGAAAGAGATAGAAAAAAGAAAGAAGGAACAAGAGGCAGAGAGAGAGAGAGAGAGAGAGAGAGTGTGTGAGAGAGAGAGGAACTGAAAGAGAGAGATCAGAGTGCTGGGTGTGGCCACATAGCAAAATAAAAAACAACAAACTGTGCAGACATATAGAAATAAATACATGAGCACAGGTTGTTTATAAGCATCTGTGTGTGTGTGTGTGTGTGTGTGTGTGTGTGTGTGTGTGTGTGTGTGTGTGAGAAAGAGAGAGACGGAGACAGAGAGAGAGAGAGAGATGATGTTTATTCAGTCTGACAGACTCCAGCACCATACACTATTCACACTGTCTCTGTGTGAGGGACATGAGGGAGTACCGCTCATCGATTGCTCTCTCTCTCTCTCTCTCTCTCTCTCTCTCTCTCTCTCTAGCTCTCTCTCTAGCTCTGTGCTGTGGTGGTGAGTGTGGATCCTCTGATCCAGTTCAGTACCAGCTCTTTTCTCCAATTCTGTTTGAGTCTCAGTCCAATAATGAGAGCGTCTCCGAGGCGTTTCCCCCTCTTGACAGTCACTAAAGGCATCACGACTTCACGGAGGTCTAAACGATTCTCCTCCCAGGTTATTCCGTGGTGTGTGTGGAGGGTCATAATCCATCTTAAACCCCTCCAATCTAAACACAGTCCAATCATGGCTGACCCGATTTCAGACCAGGAGTGGCGAGAC